GAGAGAGAGATCTATATGTAAAGAAGAGAAGAAAGAAGAGTGGTATTTATCTAGTAAAAACACAATTTTTAAAAAATAAAAGCTCAACTTTGATATTATTTTATTTTTCCTGCATAGGGAAGTTAGCTATGGGTATCTCATTGGAATGTTTCCCTGCTCTTAGATAAGGTAGCAGCAGAAGCAGTCATAACTGGTCTTGCCTAATAACACCCTTCTCCCCAGTGTTGAGAATACAGCTGGAACAACACATCACTGCTCCAAGTGTGGCACAGGGGACAGCGCTTTTGGCTCAAGGACTGTCTGCCCAGCTGGGACTTACATAATAGGAAGGTCCTGGGGAGCTTGACAGTCACTGGCTAAGCCTAACTCAGGTTCCTCCTCTTCTCCGAGCTCCAAAATATGGGTGCATCTATCAGCAGTATGCGCTGGTAGTCTTTGCACCTCTGGCATGAACACAGGTCACCAAGTTTGGGAAGATGAGGGTCACATAAGTAGCACAACTGACAGGCCATGGGCCGAGGGGGTTCCCCAGGTGGACAGTGCCCACATAGCCATCCAGCAGCAGTTCATTCCTGCAGCCGCTGGGTCCGGCAGGGACACATGGATGTCATTGTACTGCTCAAGTTTCCCACGGGAAGGTAAACATGATAAACAATTTTCTTAACTTGGGTTTCTCTCTAAGTGCTAAGCACGCTTTCATTTCATGCAGAGGCTACTCTGGCGTTGTGCCCAATGGAAGAGCTTCTCGTGAAGCCAGCACAAAAGCCTTCAACTCTGGCCCACACCAAAATTTTTTTTTTCTCTGACCACAATCTTCCTTTCTCTGCTGTTTGGCTCAAGCAACCCCTGTGTNTTTTTTTTTCTCTGACCACAATCTTCCTTTCTCTGCTGTTTGGCTCAAGCAACCCCTGTGTCCATCTGCTTCCTGAGCAGGCTGCTCACTCAGTGGCCCTGACAAGACCAAGCAAAGCAAAAAGCAAGAACTTTACTGGGGAGGGAGAGAAGGACTGCTTTGAGCCACCATCGGCCTCATGTCACTTTAAGAACACAACCAGGCTTTACAGAGGGCATTCAGAATGAGCACAGTGACATTCACTGACTTTTGAAGCCACTCCTGATTTTAACCTTTTCCTTAGGGGATCAGGTTTGTGCAAGTTCTGGAGCCAGAGCCACTCGCTCACGCTCATTTCCTGGCCTTTGCCCATCTGAGATGCGGGAAGGCTTTGTGGCATCTCTAAGCGTGCACGTGCTTCCTGCTGAGAACGTGCAAGTTGGGTCCTCCCATGGGTGCTGATGCTGGCTCTCCCCCATCCCAGCACTGTGCCCGTGTGACTTACCACCCCCAGGAAAACTGCAATCAAAAAAGGTCCGGGAATTATGACAAAGGCTAGAGAGCTCCAAGTAAAAGATTGGAGTCATTCAACTGGCCAACTCTCCAGCACCAAGATGGGCCAGGAAAAAGCTCCCCAGGGGGCTGTCCTGTTTATTAAAAGCACTTAGCTTACTGGGATACATTGGAGAATAGCCATTAGCAACATCAAGTGGTTTACAAAGCCTGTTAGAAAGAGATCAGCATCTGGGATGGAGATTTTTCTATTTCCAATCAATGTTTTTAAAAATGAAAACTAATTTTTAAGGGCAAGATACCACAGCAGAAGAAATTCCTCTCCTAAGAACAGACTTAATTATTGACAACAATCAATGC